TATATATATAAAACTTTAAAAATATTTAGCACAAAGAAAATTAAGCTTATTTTAGGACCAATATATTTGTTAAAAAATTAATATAACAATAAATGTGCTTAAATGTCATGACAATAATGTTACAGTGTAATATATATATATATATAAATATATGCTTAAATGACATGAAAATAATAATTATATATATATATTATTTTTCCAAGCAAAACATATGATCTTATTAAATGGGACCTGGACATGTTCTTGACAGATTTTGTGAGATCAACAATATCCTCTGTAAAGCTTTAAGAGAGTGTGTGTGTGTGTGTGTGTGTGTGTTTTGGGAGCAGATAATGAGAGCTGAGGAAATGCATGACATGTGCAGCCGTCGTCTGACTGCGAGAGACATGAATACAGAGAAACATGCTGAGAAAATCACTTCTGCCTCTCACACACGCTTCAGAACCAGCGGCCAAACACGGACAAAACGCTGCAAAACATCCTCGCCAAGAAGATACCATGGTAACTACAGAGAGTGCTACTACATTTTTACACTTCACGAGAAAATGTGGAGGTGTTTGCCTGTGCAAAACAGAACTTATGGTTAATTCTGGATGTGTCTGACCTTCTGTTAAAGTGCAGGGTTTTATCTCCGGAAATATGGCATGAGTTGTTTTACAAATCTAAATCCCAGAATGCAATGCAGACAGCAGATAACGGTGTTTGCCAAAAACAAAAGAGCCCAAATCATTTGCAATCATATTTGTGGTGATTTATGGAAAGAGAAACATCAGGCTCGTGTCTGACTCGACGAGATACGTGTTACAACAGAGCATCACAACGAAATAACATATTATGGATAAAGAAAAATTAATGATATGTACTATATATATATAAAATATGCTTATGAAAATTTACCTTCAAAAAGACCTAGTTAAAACCATAAAATCATAGTACATTTATATCAATCTCCTTCAAACAGTGTAAAAGGCTTCAGAATATTTCTGTCATTTTGCATACTTTTTTTCCTGTAATTTCTAGTCTTAATGTGTCATTTTGAAGGGAACTATATGGAAACTTGTTTGGGCTTTAAAAAAAAGAAAGAAAAAAAAGAAAAGTTAACTGCGACATTTTTTCTCAAAATTCTGTCTGTTTTCTCGCAATTCTGAGATATAAACTCACAATTCAAAGAAAAAAAGTCAAAATTGCGAGATATAAACTCAATTCTGAGGAACAAAATCTGCACTGGGAGATATAAACTCAGAATTCTGAGTTAAAAAGTCACAATTACCTTTTTTTAGTTAATTTTTTAATTCAGTGGCAGAAACCACCTTCCAAAGAATTATGATTACCATGGAAAATGTTTGAATTTTGTAAATTTATTTTAATAAATCGTGAATGCAATCAGCAGTGACAGAGGATGGTGTGAGAACAGAACTGACAAAGGACAAGAAGTGATCCCTGAATACTGGATCACACACGCAGTAAAAACAAAGAAACAAGGAGATTTTGTTTTTAACATACAACAACACGTCTAAGCTCATTAGATGAATCATGCAAACACTGGTGCCGAGGGTCTCGAATGAATGCGGCAGAATCTCACATTCACACTGTCAGCGCTAATAACATCACACACACACAGCAAACTACAATAAACACAGATTTACACATGGTAAAAAAACACGGGACCACTTCACAAAAACCACACACTTCTCATCCAGCACATGACGGTTGTATGTATTCAGAGCTGAGAGAAAATCTCAACAACTCAATGAAAATCTTCCCTCGAAATGATTCATCAATATGAGATGCAGAAGCATAGACTGTTGCCAGATGCCAAGGAAACCTCACTAAAATGTGTCCTGCGTACTGGATGTTCGTTTCAAACTGCAATGTGAAGAATAAAACAGGAATCTATGGTCTAATTTGGTCCAGTGACAGACTGGATCTCACCGTGAGCATTGTGGGAGAAGGCCAACAGACTGTTGGAGATTCACACCCAACTGCTCACGACGCTTTGCGTACATCTGTGTAAATGATGATTTCAATGCACTTCATACGGTTGTGAACAAGACACACTTTGAGAAGACTTGAGTGAAGGTAATACTTACTAGAATACTTCAATAGATGCCAATACTTATGGAGCAGGTATGATTGCCATATTTCATTTTATGATCTTTACAGGTTTACAAATGAACTGGCTGTATCGTGCATGATCTGAAAGCATGAAGTACTGTATAGACTTGTAGAATAACATTCAATTCTCACTTTCAATTCAGAAAAACTAAAGGACCGCCTTGATTTAAATACAAGTTTACAAGCACATATTAGACATGCACACGTGGCCTTACTGAATCTATGAAATGTATTTATCATTCAAATGATATTCTGAACAACATATTATGCAGACATGAGACGTCCATAAAACCAAAACAATTATAGTAACATATTATAGATATGATATTGTGCATCATCATTACAGTATTTGGGTAAGTCTTATTACTTCAAATTTTTTAATAAAATGTGATCTTGTTTTCATGCAATTTTTTAAATGCTTAAATCAAGAAATTTTTTTCTTACTGAATCTATGAAATGTATTTATCATTCAAATGATATTCTGAACAACATATTATGCAGACATGATGAGACGTCCATAAAACCAAAACAATTATAGTAACATATTATAGATATGCTATTGTGCATCATCATTACAGTATTTGGGTAAGTCTTATTACTTCAAATTTTTTAATAAAATGTGATCTTGTTTTCATGCAATTTTTTAAATGCTTAAATCAAGAAAAAAAAATATTTATATATATGCAATGTTTTTAATAAAACAAAAACTCTAATAATTATTATGATGCTCTAATTCAGGAAAACAAAACTAAAATACTGACCAAAATTATAATTTTTGGAGTTTAATACAAATTGCAGTTTAACTTTCTTTTAAATTGCAAAAAATAGGTGCTAGAAAATTATAAATGTAAAGATTTAAAAAAACGAAAACTAAAATGTTTTATATAATTATAACACTAATTATTAAAAAAATATGAATTGATTAAACATGATTTTTGCAGTTTAATGCTAACTGTTTCCATATGATGAACTGATTTGGATTAAAACATCTAAATGAATGTAAATCTGACATAAATGAAAGTTCTGACACCATGATAATTATCTAAAAACCAAAAGTCACAGTAGATGCAGCTACTGTAAATCACTAAAGACGAGTGATTTCTGCCTCAGCAACAGCACTGCTGCACTAGAATCAGTTCAACCCTGAAACATCAGGAAAGAAACAGCGGAGCCGGCTGCAGGTCAGGCCACAAACTGTCTGAAAGCATTAAAGTCAGTCCATCACGAGAGCCTGAGGGAACCTGGCTCTGTATTAACACACAGTCACCAAAACCGCCTGAAAACCAGCTGAATTTAACAAGAGAACATGAGTCATTTCAGTCTGTCATCAGTCAACATTCAGTTCAGAAACCATACTAGTTCATTCATACTTTAAAACAGGAAAGCAGACCTTGAATAATCACATTCTCACCGTTTTCCAGGACTGCAGTTTTCTGATGGAGACAGATGGTTTGGTTCGGTTCTCTGGAGAACCGGACAGATTTCATCCCGGCGCTGGAGGCGATCAATTAAAGAGACGCTTTATGAACATATAATGACTGATGTGAGCCTCGAGGCTACAGAGACGAGATAATGAACCGAGTGAATGTCAAACTAATGTCTTCAGCGCATAAAAGTGCTAAAAGTTTGTGCACAAACATCCTCAAACTGCCTTGAAATGCAACACAGCATCTTAAACGCACTTGAGGAACAATCTAGAAAGACTGAGAAACCTAACTGCTGAAGTTATGAGCCCG